GCAGAAGTAGAGAGAATAGTGTTAAGAATCCATATACCTATCACCTAGCTTTCAGCAGTTATCAACTAATGGTTAATCTTGTTTCATCTATTTTGGTACACTTTCTCTTGCCCTACTATTATTTTAAAGCACATTGCAGCTGTCATATCACTTCATTCATAAATATTTTAGTATTTATCTCTACAAGATAGTGATTCTTTAAAAACATAACTACCTTTGCACATAACTAACATCGCACCTAAAAAATTCATAGTTCTTTAATATCATTAGATGTACTGTCAGTGTTAGATTTCCTTGATTGTTCAAAATGGCTTTTTGCTGGAGGTGGACCCATCTCTACAAAAAATTTAAAAAGTAGCTTGATGTTGTGGTGTGTGCCTATAGTCTCAGCTTGGGAGGCTAAGGCAGGAGGATTGCTTGAGCCCAGTAATTTGAGGTTACAGTGAGCTGTGATGGGGCCACTACATCCCCAGCCTGGGTGACAGAGTAAGACCCTATCTCTAAAAACAAGCAAACAAAAAAATGTCTTTTTCTAATTTTGTAGAGACAGGCGTCTCCAACTCCTGGCCTCAAGTCATCCTCCCACCTCAGCCTCCCAAAGTGCTAGGATTATAGGCGTGATCCACCACACTTGGCCCAGAGTTAGGTTTTAGATCTAGCTTTTGTGTCACCTTTCTTTGTGACCTTAATCAAGTCATTTTACTTTTTTGGGCTCAATACCTTCATCTGTAAGAGGATATATAATTGAATTAAGTGTTTTTTACTGTTTCTCTATCAGTTTGTTGCCCTACGTAGGGTCTAATTTGGTAGAAAGATATTTGCTTTCATCATAACAGGTTGTTATCAAGGATAAATTTCTCCCTGAAAATAAGAGTCACAGACTATAAAGTTGAAAAGGGCTGTAAGAGGTTATTTGATTTAGTTCTCTGCCATTACAGAGCAAATTATTATCTCTGCCTAGTTGGTAGAATAATGGAAGTCCAGAAAGTCCACAAGGTATATAGTTAGTTATATACTAGTTAGAACAAACAACAACAACAACAAAAAAACTAGAAATCAAGTCTGTTTACCATAAAGCCTGTAGTGCATATGTGGTCTTTTCTGAAATTAGCTTAATTGGATAATCTTTCTTTTTTTTTTTTTTTCCCTCTTTATAGGTTCTTTGCACTGACATCCCTTCGTCTTGTGTTTTTACTTGCATTTGGCTTGATGATCATTGTGTGTATTGATCAATGGAAGAGCAAAATCTGGCCTGAAATAAAAGGTGAGTTTGATAGCATTTAAAACAGTTGAAACTGGAAATGGCCTTTGTTGGCATTTCTACCTTTAGTTTTGGGGATTTAGGAGGCGGTATATGGAGCTGGGAACTATCTTTTTTTTTTTTTTTTTGAGACAGAGTCTTATTTTGTTGCCCCCGGCTAGAGTGCCATGGCGTCAACCTAGCTCACAGCAACCTCAAACTTCTGGGCTCAAGTGATCCTTCTGCCTCAGCCTCCCGAGTAGCTGGGACTACAGGCATGCGCCACCATGCCCGCCTGATTTTTTCTGTATATTTTTAGTTGTCCAGCAAATTTCTTTCTATTTTTAGTAGAGACGGGGTCTCGCTCTTGCTCAGGCTGGTCTCGAACTCCTGAGCTCAAACGATCCACCCGCCTCGGCCTCCCAGGGTGCTAGGATTACAAGGCGTGAGCCACCACGCCGGGCCTGGGACTATCTTTTGAAGTCTGAATCATTTGCTTTAGAAGACACTTGAAGGGCTCGTGCCCCCTTTGTGGTTACTTAGAGCTGGGTTCCTCCTTTCCCATTGTTACTAAGCTCAGGAAGTCTGTATCTAGTACCTGAGATATTCTTACCAACATGATGGCCTGAGGAATATGTGGTCCTCAAACTTTTTAGAAAATAATTCTCTTCATTAGATACTATATCTTTGTTGAGGCAGAATCAGTTAACCTCTCAGGAATTTTTTTTTTTTTTTCAAGAGACAGGGTCTTGCTGTGTTGCTTAGGCTGGTCTTGAACTCCCCTGCCTCAAGTGATCCTCTTATCTCAGCTTCCCAAAGTGCTGGGATTACAGGCAAGGAATTTCTTTTAAAGTGTTTATTTGCAAAATACTAAGCTAAGCATTATGGCTTATAGAAAATACTGTAAGATACGTTTTTTCCCTAAAAATTGTACATACATAAACATATGAAAAGTTAAATGATAGTTATAGAACAGTACCAGAAATGTCACAATGCAGTATGTGATTGGTATATTTGTCATGTATTTTGGTCCTAGCTCAAACCTTGAACAAAGCAAAAGATTTGGACAAGTAGAGAGAAAAGTGTGTTTCTAGATAGTCTAAGGAACCAGAAGCTGCAGAGCATCTCCTGAGAGCAGAGAATTGATCATTTTGACAGGAATGAAAAGTTCATTCAAGGAAGTACTAGGAAATAAAACTGAAAGTATGTCTGGATTAGATTTTATATAAGTTAGGCTTAGAAGTTTAGACTTTGTCCTATAAGTAGTAGGTGGCCATTAAAGATTTTTTAAATTAGAGCTATATGCTGAGATGACAGTAAAGATTAATTCGGTAGCATTTTATAGGACCACATGGAAGAAGAAAAAGAGGAGGAAGAAGATCTGTTAGGTGACCGTGAAAGTATCTTTGTGAGAGGTAGTCAGAGAGGTGTCCATGAAAACAAATGATGGATGACTTGGAGAGCTGCGAAGCAGGAAGATACATTTGTCCTGGAGAGAAGACAGGACTCAAAAAAAAAAAAAACCTGATAAATTTTGGCTAGCATTTCTATTAATAAAAAGGAAAAAAAATGATAAATTGTTGGATGGGAGTTAGAAGAGTAAGGGATAAAAACCGACTTTAGGATTTTAAAGCTAGGAGAGTGGGAGAGTGGCATTACAGGTAGCAGGCCTGGGAATTGGCTTAGGTCGGGGAATGAGAACAAGGAAAATTGATGTAGGTTTTAGACATGTTAATTTTGATGTGTTGATACAATATTCAAACCAGAGTATATAGCTTTTAAATAAATTCTCATCCAATTTTATAGAGACTTCAAGGAATCATGTAGTTCATCGGCCTATCTTAATTTAAGGCTAGTGAATGTCAAAAGACTTTACATCATCCAGGTAGATAATGGGTCACTTTTTAAAGAGTTAGGCAGATTTCTAGGGTTGGAGTAGCTAAAACATGCCTTGGTAGTCTGGCACACATTCATGTGTATGAACAGGCCAGACACACTCAAGGGGTGGGATGGACCATTTTTCTTTCACACCTTGGCTTTCAGCTTAGGTAATTGGAGGAGCTCTAATGGTCCATTTGGACTCCTCTTCCTCTCCTTCACGAAATAAGCAGGCATAAGCAATTATTCCCTTGTCTGTAGCTCCCTAACTGTGGCAGTTTAACATAGTGTCTCCTTTTTATTGGCTATTACTGTTTTGTTTTCCCCAAACCTATTAAAACTTGAGCTGTCAGACCAAGCCCAACAGCCTAACATTTTCATGTTTAGTTTTCCCTACCAACTAATGCTGGTGTTTGTTTTAATATTGTAGTGCCAAGACCCGACGCATTAGACAATGAGAGGTATGGAACACTAATTAAATCCCTTTTTGTTGCTGTGATTGATTCTCTTGTAATATTCTGGTTACATGTTGTTAACCCCGTGTTCTGGACACACAGTGTAAGCTGAAACCTAGTCTCTTCCAAATAATCATTTTAACACATCCTAAAGTTCAGGCAGCAATATATTGAAATGGCCAGTGTCCTCTGATCTTTACAGAAGTTTCTGAAAGAGAAGCATTACAATGCCCCATAACCTGACATGCCAAGGAATCAGCTGCATTATTCAGCCCCAGTGAGAAAACTTAAAGGCAACTAACTTTTGTCTCCTGGCTTTTGTACCAGGTCATTTAGTGTTTTCTGTCACCTCTGGCTATTTAAAGTTCCTGGTCAGAAAACACATTGGTTCCTGGCATCAGCAAGCCAAAGCCAAAGATTCCTCTATGTCTTATAGCTCCTGCTTTCATTTCTCAGTTCATCCACCCTGTATGTTTGAGCCAAGGAATTTTCTCTGCTATGGTTTATTTTGGCTTTGCTTTATTTATTTTCTCTCTGAGGGGCACATCTACCATTGCCTCCCCCCCAGCAGCAGTGGTATCTGTCAGTCAGACTGTGCTTTACTTTTATCCCTAGTTTGCACTCACAGGGAACTGCAATGGTCTGAGTGCAGGGAAGAAAATGTTTCTAAGCACAAAGGGCCTTGGAGCTGGTGGCAGGTTTACACACGTAGATTGGGCTGCTTGCTCATAGGGTGGAGTTGCCAGAACAAGTTTGCCCTCCTAGTCCCTAAATTCAAGTTTCAACCTGGTGAGCCAAGAAGAAAGTCATGCTTCACCTCTAAAGCACCTGGGACTAGCCACTCCCCAGCCCCTGTTTAAACCGGAAGCATTGGCTGCCTACACAGGAAGATGGGGGGATCCTTAACACCCTCCTTTCACAGCTCCCCCTTCTCTCTCCCATAGCTGGGGCTTTGTGCACCCTCGGTTGCTCAGCGTGCCCGAGCTCTGCCACCATGTAGCTGAAGTCTGGGTTAGTGGGACCGTTTTCATAAGGAATCTTTTGCTTTTTAAAAAGCAAAACCCAGGCAAGGTAAGACTTCCCTTTTTCACTTTCATCTCTGGCCTCTGAGTTCAGTTCACGCTAAACTGAAACAGCTCCTTTACTATAGATACTCATTCAAGAAAGAAGAGACTGTGGTGTTTGTAGAGAGAAAGGGATGTAGGAAGGGGCTTCTGACCAGCCATTAGGGCTAAGGCAAGAGCGTGGTGACTCCTCATTTGGTGTTTGTCACTTAGAGTAGGCTATTTTCTTGCCCCAAGATGGAAAAGAAAGCTTGCTTGTATGCATTGTGTGTCATATTAAACATGTGGTAGGTTGTTGGGTTTTTTAGTTTTTTGACTTAAAAAACCCACTACCAACACTTGGCTTTCAGAAAGAATTTTTGGCTAAGTCCTATTCAAACCAATTTCCCGGCATGAAAGGTACAGCCCTATGGGGTTAGCCATGTAAAAGGAATTTGAACAGAAGGGGACATCCTCCTTTTCCACCCAAACAAAATCACCACTGGATGCAAGAGTGGTTATATCTGTCATTCTGACATGTCCATGTTTGACTCATAGATCATAAAGAATCTTTCAGTCACATCTCTGCCATAACCCTCCACCCCCATCCCAGTGCCCTGTCATGTGGCAGAGACTTAATACCATTTTTTTGACTCCCCCAGTTCTGCTTGCTGAGCTGTGGGATACTGACCTTTTTGGCTGTCCTGGGTCGCTACATCCCTGGCCTCCTGCTGTCCTACTTAATGCGTAAGTATGGCTTATGAGCTGTACCCTGCTCATAGGTTTCCAACCCCAGCTAGCTCTGGGTCTAGGGGGAGAGAGGACTTTATATATTTCATTTTCCAGGAAATGACCTTTTCATATTTTTGTGACCTGTTTGGTGTCATGAAAGTGTCTTTATTCTTACTCATAGTAGGCTCTCTACATATAAAGTCCATTTCTTACCAAATTAGTTTTAGAATTTTTTTTTTTTTTTTTTAAGATAGAGTCTTGCCCTGTCACCTGGGCTAGAGTGCTGTGGTGTCAGCCTAGCTCACAGCAACCTAAAACACCTGGGCTCAAGTGATCCTCCTGCCTCAGCCTCCCAAGTAGCTGAAACTATAGGCTACCACGTCCAGCTATTTTTAGTAGAGATGGAATCGCGCTGTTGCTCAGGCTGGTCTTGAACTCCTGAGCTCAAGCAGTCCTTCTGCCTCAGCCTCCCAGAGTGCTGGAATTACAGGTATGAGTCACTGCACCCAGCCCAGTTTTAGAAATTGATGAGGGTCCACTAACATACGTTGTATTACCAACTATAAAGGACTGCCTGTCCCTATTTAAGGAGGGAATTTTTAGAGCCAGAGTATTGTATAACAGCAAAACATAACTCTTAGGGGTTCCTCTACTAGGTTCTGTTTATCCTGGAGCACTTTCCCCTCCCCCCCATCCCCCCTTGCACATTTTTATAGATTTATTTACTTCCTATTGGCATGTACTCTGCTTGCTTGGGGCTGGAGTAACTGAGTAGTTGTAACTGTGGCCTTTATACATCAGAAGCTCACATGATTTTTTGTGTAGTTTCTGAGGCATTGTTACCATTTAGCCTTGTTTATTGGCTCAGTGACATCCATAGGCAAGTGACCACACTGTCTAGTTCTGCCCTTAGCCTGTCACCAGCATACTTTGCTGCACACAGCCCTGTTCTAGGCCCTGTGAGGCTGCCCTCAAAACCCTGCTCGTGTAGTGGGGAGACTGGTAAAGATGATCAGTGGAATTAAGCAGAACTGTTCCACGCTAGGTGTCTAAGCCCTAAGGACATAATAGCAGAAGAACAGTTAGGAATGTACTGTGCAGCTCCTTCTCCATTTTTCCACTGTTTCCCATGTCCCCTTTCAGTTGTCACTGTCATGATGTGGCCCCTTGCTGTGTATCACCGACTGTGGGATCGAGCATATGTGCGGCTGAAGCCAGTTCTGCAGCGGCTGGACTTCAGTGTCCGTGGCTACATGATGTCCAAGCAGAGAGAGAGGCAATGTAAGTGTCATGGGGAGGCTTCCTTCCACTTCGGCAGTTTGGGAAGAGGAGAGGCCTGTAGGTCTGACAGACTAGAAGTGGGAGAAGTAGGGGGTTGGGGGGGGTGGTAGGTAAAAATGATATTCTATTCCAGGGAAACCTATGCAGGCTTGCCAGTTTTTTCTTATTTGGAATCCTAGACTCTTGCATTTTAAATAGATCTGAGAAAAGATTTTCTTAGTGAATAAAAGGTAGACAGTGAAGATATCCCTAGTTATTATCTGCTATTTATGAAGCACTTAGCATGTGCCCAAGCACTGTGCTGGCTACTCTCTGTGCGCTGTCTTATTTAATCTTTACAATAACCTTGAGGAGTGGTATTATCCTCCTTCTCTAATTGAGGAAATCGAAGCTCACAGGTAGTAAATGTCAGAGCAGGTCTCTTCAGCTCCTAAGCCTGGCCTCTTCACTACTGAAAGCTGCCTCCCAAAGGTGATTAAAAACTACTACCTCAGAGTCAGAAGTGTACTAGCTTGAGATCCATCCAACGCATTAATGGTGGTAGTGCAAACTTTTCCCTCTCTTCTGTGGTCTTGTCAGGTTGGGTGTTTCATTAAACCCTGGCCTTCCAAGGGCCCTGCACATGGTCACCAAGGCCCAGCTACCCCTGGGGCAGCCATTTGAATAGTATTAGTCCTGAAAAGCCTGATTTTAATCAAGGTGGGCATCTCCTTTTGCCCTCCCTACGATAATGTCCACTTACTACCGTGACATCAGGTCTGCCTTTTGCTTGACAGTTATTGACAAACCTGGTAGTTGATCATCTGACCAGGATAGAAATGTGTAGAGGTTAAGGGAAATGTGGAGGGAAGGATGTTGGAAGAGAGATCTTCTCTCTGGTGTTATTAGCTCTCCTTGTTACTTAGGCTCAGCAGCTCTGCCCTCAAGTATTGTTATGTAGGCTTAGGGCCATATTGACAGGGGCCCTTTGAAGTCCATGGGGGAGGATTCCACCCCACATCCCCAGGGAAGGCATCAAAGCTTTCTGTTCTTTCCACACAGTGCGCCGCAGAGCTCTGCATCCAGAACGGGCCATGGATAACCACAGTGACAGTGAAGAAGAGCTTGCTGCCTTCTGTCCTCAGGTATCTTGAGTGTGGGAGCTGTTTCACTGGCCAGTTTTCTTTAGCTCCCTTTTAACCACCTGGCAGCTCACATTTAGGCAGTAACCAGGTTTCAAGTTCATCATGGCCTCTCCAAGTCCTGGACTCCCCTTGCTCCTGAGAGCAGTGACAAGGAGAGAAGCTTGGGTTATACTAGGACTTTGTACCTAGATCCAATTTAAGCCTGAAGCCCAGCACAACCTCTTCCATGTTTCCTTTTACCCTACCACGGAAGAACTTGTGGAGCTGGTGTGATCATTTTTTAAAAAGCTCAGTCCATCCTTAGGTCTGGGCACTATGTGTATCCTCCTGGTCACCTGTGAACAGTTATCTCTGAATCAATTACATGCTTACGAGTAAGTGGCTAATTGATTCCTAAGACCGCTTTTCTTCCTGTGCTCAAGAAATGAGTGAATAAGAGTGTTTTCTTTGGGAGAGCAGCCTAAAAAAAGTCAAGATTTTGACTAAAGTCCCTGTCAATCCCTGGTTACACTAATGTCCTTCCCGTAGCCTTTAAGGCCAGCTAATTAGTAAAGCTGTACATGGGGACTGCATTTGGTTCCTAATGGCATCATCTCAGGCTTATTGGTCTTTTCTTTTCCTAAGCTGGATGATTCTACTGTTGCCAGGGAATTGGCCATCACAGACTCTGAGCACTCGGATGCTGAGGTCTCCTGTACAGACAATGGCACATTCAATCTTTCAAGGGGCCAAACACCTCTAACAGAAGGCTCTGAAGGTGAGGGGAACCTTTGACCTGAGTTGATAATGTTGCCTCTCTGTTGCCTCTCTCCTTCCCTGAACAGAGGGGATACTGGTAGCCCCTACTCTCCTGTTTTCTGAGCTGTAGGTCAGGTGGTAAAGCAGCTTGAGGGGTGTGGCTACAGCCAGGATAGCACTGCTACTTTTCTTGAAGCCCTCTGTCTCTTAGTAGCTTCAGGTTCTAGCTTCATGAGGGACATAGTAGAGGAAGAGATGGGGAGTTCTCTGGCCAGTAGAGATCACAGCCATCTATAAGGAGGGGGGAAAAGCTAAACCAGTCCCATGGGTTTTGCTTCACCCTGAGAAATCAAGGGTGGAAACAATCTGGCTATGTGGGGCATTTTGTAGGTCTGGGGCCACAGGAGGGCCAGGTAGTTGCCATGTCTTAGACACCCTTGTATTCTCCCAGACTTAGATGGTCACAGTGATCCAGAGGAATCCTTTGCCAGAGACCTTCCAGACTTCCCTTCTATTAATGTGGATCCTGCTGGCCTGGACGATGAGGACGACACCAGCATTGGCATGCCCAGTTTGATGCACCGTTCCCCACCGGGGGCTGAGGAGCCCCAGGCGCCCCAGGCGCCCCCTGCCAGTCGGGATGAGGCTGCACTGCCAGAGCTCCTGCTTGGTGCTCTGCCTGTAGGATCCAACCTCACCAGCAACCTTGCCAGTCTGGTCTCCCAGGGTATGATCCAGCTGGCCTTATCAGGGGCCTCCCAGCCTGGCCCTTCTGGCCCACCTTCCCGGAGAGCAACAAGAGGCTTCCTCCGGTCCCCCAGTTCAGACCTGGACACTGACGCTGAGGGGGATGACTTTGAACTTCTGGATCAGTCAGAACTAAATCAGCTGGACCCTGCCAGTTCCAGGAGCCACTGAGGTAGAGACTCCTTTTGGGGGTCACCGTGGTTTAGGTTTTTTTTCTCCCCATCCCACTTAAGGTGAACGGGACAAGGGAAGAACCCAGCTCCCATCCCCTGAATTATATTCGTATGCTGGGTGGCCTGACTGATGCTCAGAGGCCTGCTTATAGAGGATACTCACTCCCCTGCTACCAGCTGGACACACATTTCTGAGCTCAGTCACTGAAGTGAGAGTGTGCTCCCCTGAAGGAGGCTTCTCTCCTTCAGGATGATATTTTGGGGGAACAAAGTAGTCAGGGATATTGGTTCCCCTTTGAGGAGGTGCTGCTGTTTGCTTTTAGGTATGGGTGCTCAGAGGCCCTCACTGGTAAAGGAGCCCATCCCTTCCTCCGTTCATCACCTCCATATAGCCCCAGAAGTCATGCAGCAGCTATAAGAGTTACGTTGTTATCATTTTCTTTTGTTAAACCAGGATTTGATTTGTTTTTTTAAAGCAAGCTTGTGCTTTGGTTGTGCAGAACAGGCTTGCTCCCTCTCCTCTAGCCCATCCTCATTTTTCGAGGCCTGACCCTCAGTGCTCCGAAGTATTGCTTGTGAAATTTAAGAAATGTGAACATGTTGTGGGGATGGGCCTCTCCTACATCACCTTGGGCCATGGGAGTCAGATGGCTGGGAGGGTTAGTGAATGCCTCTGTGTCTTGAGATTCTCTATCACTGAATCTTCTGGAGCTGTGTGGTTGTCTTTGGTGCTGCTAACCCCTGGCTCCATTTGACCATCAGCCTGAGCAGTGAGCAAAGCAATACCATACCCATTTCTATGTTCCTGGTCCTTCCCCTGCTTCTCCTTTGGAGAAGCAATAATTCCATGGGGGATGGCAAAGTAGCACTTTACAAATGGCTCCGTGGCATTCATCCCAGGAGCCACAAGCTCTTCTTCCACCAGCTGTTCTTACTCCCTGCTCAGCTACTTTACTGCTTTGATTTTCATCTGCTTCCCAACCTGGCAGGGCCTCCTTTAAGGATGAGCCCAGTTAGCAAAAATGTGTCTGTAGTCAGCAGAGACCCCTTTGAGGGGTATCTATTCTGCGGCCCCTAGTAAAATCATGAGACAAAAACCCAAAAATGGTAGTTGGTTTTAAACCTGTGCCAGCCTACAGCCTCTCTCTGCCTCCCCAGTCAGAGCTCAAGCCAAACTCCTCTATCCTCGTTCTTTCTGCATTAACCCTTTGCTGATCCTCAGGGACCACTCCCCCAACACCCCCATACTTGGGTGAGGGATGTTGGACAGAGCCTATTTCACATGCTGCAGGTGGGGGTGTGCTGACATGTTTGCTCTTGGTTAATGGACAAGGTACAGAGGCCAGGGAGTGAAAATGGTTAACAGTGAGAAGGGAGAAGAGCTGGTGTCTATCTCATAGTCACCTTTGTGTGACCGTCAGGGTTAGTGGCATTCCCCTACTTTAGAGTTCTTAGATTTTGTACACTTCCTGTCTTCTCAGAGCCCAGATGTCTTACACGTGAGCTCCTGATTTGGAAAAACAGGTGTGGAAAGAAGTGGGATTTTGTGAGTTTGCATGAGTGTGTGTAGGTTCAGGCCTTGGGAGTTGGCAAGAGGAGGGAGGGAAGGAAGGAGAGCAAAACCTTCAGAAGGTGTTTCTTGTACCTGGTGGATCGTGCTCTGAATCTCCTTAGTCCTCCACTGTGAATTGGGGGGGGGGGCTGCTGGGGAATAAATCTTATATGAGAACAATCTTTAAGAGACTGATGTTGAATGGTGTCCTACCCTTGATAGGTTTTCTCTTATTAATCTGAGTTCTGATTAATTTGAGGAGGTGACAGCCTCAGAAAAGGAAGCCCAGGTGTGAGAGACCCACAGATCCACTTCTGTTTTTCCTTTGTGATGCTCAGAGCAATCACTGTAGTATGATGCCACTTCCCTTCCTCAAGGATCCCAGATACGAGCATGACTGGGACTCTTGGCTGGCATTTAGCTTGCGGTTCCATCATTTCTAAACATGCGAAGACAAGCACATGTTTCATAGGCTAAGGAGGTTTTTGATAGCAGAAGGTTTTAAAAAATAGCACCATGCTCCTCCACTGGATTGTTTGAGCTGCAGGGACAGCTGCTTTTCAGCCTTCAGCTGACCTCAGAAACTAGAAATATTTATTTCAGGCTCTGTCCCATTGGTCACTGTGGTCAGGAATGGAAAGCACCTGCCAGGTGTTGCCCAGAGAAGATTAACAAACTTCTACAAGCTCTGTGGCTTAAGAGTAACCCCCTCCCAATCCGACCTTCCCTTGGCGTTCAAACCACAGCAGGTGTCGGGCGCCCCCTGGGTGCAAAGCTCGGTAACTGGCAAATAAGGGGAATGTAAGCGCCTCTCCAAGGCGCTAACGCTTCCTGTTTTTTCACAACCTTCCTCCTGCAAGTAGCTACTGTACCTATTTTACAAGTGACAAAATTAGCCGACGAAAGAGCACTGGACTGTGGGATCCCCCTGTGGGTAACTAGCCCTGTGACCTTGAGCTGGTCGTTTGCCCTGCGTGGGAGTTGATCCCTGAAGTGTCTCCCCGTTCAAACACTGGGCCTAACTCAAGGTCACGAGTGATCAGCCGCGGCTGGAACTGGGTCTCGAAACTTGAAGGCGTTCTTTACCACAGCCTTCGTTCCCGGGGGGGAAGCAGCGGGAGGTCCAAAGCCGTGCGCCCGCCGCCTGCGCGGAAGCCGGGGGCTTAGGGATCTCGGACCGCCGGGCGCCAGGCAGAAGTGAACTACGGCGTCCGGGAAGGGTCGCTGCCGTCCTCAGGCGGGCTTCACCAGTTGAGCCAATCACCGCTTGAGCCCGCCCTCCGTCACCGGAAGGAGGCGTCACCCGGAGCAACTACAACGACAGGCTGAGTTCGGCGGCGGGAAAAGCCATGAGTAAAGGCCGGGCAGAAGCTGCGGCGGGAGGTAACGGCGGCGTGGGCGCGGGGGAGACCCCGGAGGGGAGTCGGCGAGGAGGTCGGTTAAGTGGCCCCTCCCGTGCTTCGTCTCTCCGCAGCCGCCGGCATCCTCCTGAGGTATCTGCGGGAGCAGAACCGGCCCTACAGCGCCCAGGACGTGTTCGGGAACCTGCAGCGGGAACACGGACTGGGCAAAGCGGTGAGGACCTCCTCCCGGGATCCCCTTCCCGTGGGACCCCCGCATATCAGTCTGGGGTCCTGCCCTCCCGAGCCTTGGGCGCTTTCCCCATCAGTGGCTGAAATTCCCCCTGCCCGGGCCCAAAGACTCCTCTGATGGCCCCGCTCCCTCCTCTCCGCCAGGCGATGGTGAAGGCGCTGGAACAGCTGGCCCAACAAGGCAAGATCAAAGAGAAGATGTATGGCAAGCAGAAGATCTATTTTGTCGATCAGGTGAGGAGAATCCTGCGCAGATTATCACCTGTGTGAGAGCCCGACACGGGGTAAATCAACTTCTAGTATCGAGTTTTTGGGAGAGTTGAGGCACACCATGAAACTCATCTGTCTTATGCCATTACAGGGGCCTCAGACATACCTAAATCAAGGTGTGTACTGCCCTCACTATGATCCAAACTTATTGAAGTTTCCAGATTTGCAATATGAATGACAGAAGATCCTGTATTTTTGCTTCCAAGATCCATTTCCGCTTATAAGCTCTTATTCCCTAGCATCTAGACTAGCACCACCCTCTGCCTCCACCTCCCTCCCTAAACACATCAAATTTGTCTTTTCCAGTCCAGACCTCCACCTGGAGCCTCTCAAATCCCACTGAGCCATTTGTAAAGTGCTACTTTGCCATCCCCCGTGGAATTATTGCTTCTCCATACGAGAAGCAGGGGAAGGAGCAGGAATATAGAAATGGATGTCCTAATATTGCCAAAGGAGAGAGAATGCCTCATCTTTTCCCCCAAACATTCTTCTCCCTTAATGGAATCACTCTTCACCCAAACCAGAGACTTGGAAGTCTTTGTTTTTTTCTGAGATAGAGTCTCACTCTGTTGCCTGTGCGAGTGTGGTGGCATCAGCCTAACTCACGGCAACCTCAACCTCAACCTCTTGGGCTTACAGGCACACACCACCACACTCAGCTAATTTTGCTTTTTTCTATTTTTAGTAGAGACAAAGTCTCACTCTTGCTCAGGCTGGTCTCGAACTCCTGAGCTCAAGCTGTCCTCCCACCTCGGCCTCCCAGAGTGCTAGGATTACAGGTGTGAACCACTGTGCCCGGCCCGGGAGTAATTCTTGAATTCTCTTATCCTACATGTCTGGTCAATTATCAAGTCCAGCTGATTTTTCCTTTCCTGAATCTACTCTCTCCATCTGCCATCGCTGCTCTAGTTCAGACTCTCCTCATCTATTGCAATATCCTAACAGATCTCACCTCCTCGAACATATCTTAAACATTGCAGCCAGCATGATCTATCTAAATGCAGATCTCGATGGCTCCCCAGTGCTCCACAGAACGGGAAAATGGCACTTGGAGACTTGCCCCAGCCAGCTTCTGGCCTCTCCTGTCCTTGCTAGTTCTCCATCCATCAGTACTAGATAATGCAGATGTGTTTTACTCCTTCGTCCTTTGCTCAGTCTTCCCTCTGCCAGGTTAGTTTAGTTCCTTCTGCCTCTCTGCCTGGCTTACTCTTACTTATTCTTTAGGATTTCACTCAGGCATCACCTTCTGCAGAAACCTTCCCTGAATGCTTTGAGCTAATTGCCTCTTTTTCAGCTCTTACCTCTTTTGACACGTGCTGTATTGTAATTGTCTTTTTACTTGTCTCCTTCACTAAATTGAAGTTCTTCTAGGGCAGACTCTATTTCTCAATTCATTTTTATCTCAGCACCCCCTCTGTATCTAATATCCAGTAGACATTACTCATTTAACTGAACCAAACCACTTTCAAGGCTAATTTTCCTAAAACAAGTCTTCATTATGTTACTCTATTGAAAATCCTCTAAAGGAGAGGTTGGCAAACTTTTTCTATAAGTGGCTACACAATAGGCTTTGTGGGCTATACGGTCTCTTGTCACAGGTATACAACTGTTGCAACTACTCAGCTCTGCCATTGTAGAGCAAAAGCAGCTATAGACTATGCAAACAAATGGGCATGGCTGTTTCAATAAAATCTTGTTTTCAAAAACATGCACCTGACAGGATTTGGCTTGCTGGTCTTTGCTCTAAAGGTTCACCTTGCCCTAAGTATAGAGTCCAAACTGCATAGGCTGGCATTCTCATCTTTTCCAACCTGTTCCCCATCACCAACTGACATGACCCCTGCTGATCCCCAACACAGTCCTTTTCTAGCAGCAGTCCCTCATGGGAGGAGCTCCTCAGACTTTTACTAGAGTCCCTCATCTAAATAGATCCCATCATGCCTCTTAACCTGTCCAGATTCTTCCTATTGTGGCAACCCATCATCTGGGTTTCACCACCCTGGGAAAAATGTTACTTTACTCTTTAAGCCCAGTGAGTGGTTTTATCACTAAATGGGAAGACATTTCTGTCTTATTCAGTATGCTACCAACCTGGTCACTCCTTGAGGACAGGCATTAAGTTTCAACTTTTCTTTTATACCTTTTTAGTGGGACCAGTACTCAGCTGAGTTCCTTTTTCTTTTTTTTGGAGATAAGAGTCTCGCTCTGTCACCCCGGCTAGAGTGCAGTGGCATCATCGTAGCTCACTGCAACCTCAAAGTCCTGGCTCAAGCGATCCTCCTTCCTCAGCCTCCCGAGTAGCTACAGGTGCACACCACCACAACTGGCTAATTTTTTCTCTTTTTAGTATAGATGGGGTCTCACTCTTGCTCAGACTGGTCTTGAGCTCCTAAGCTCAAGCAATCCTCTGGCCTCGGCCTCCCAGAGTAGTAGGATTACAGGCGTGAGGCACCAGGCCCATCAACTGAGTTTCTTAAAAGTACCCTCCCACTATTTTCCCAGGTCCTTTTAAGGGTTTGGGGAAAACCAGGTTCTTGAGTGTATCTGAATGCTCCCTCTTCCCAGATGTGTGTTTCCTATTTTTGTGCCTCACATTTTTCTTTGTGCCTTATATTTTTCTTATCTCTGGCAGGAACAGTTTGATATAGTAAGTGATGCTGACCTCCAATGCCTGGATGCCAAAATCGTGGACCTCACTGCTAAGGTGCAGAGCTTGCAGCAGACCTGCCGCCACATGGAGGCTGGTAGGTCTGGGTAGCCCCCAAAAGGTGCCCAAAGGGTCAGGTTCAGTCTACAGGTTAGGAATTACTGAGTGAATGGGTGGTTGATTACAACATCTTATTGGCAGTTAAGACCCCTTTGCTGGGCTGCGTTAGGTATTACATTAACAGAAATGTAGAACAACTAATGGGCTTTTGTGCACAAATGAGCAAGGCATGCATTTGCTTTCCGTGCCATGATTTTCAGTGCACTGTCCCCATGCTTCCCTTTATTCTTGCTTCTTTATCTGGCTCCAGCTAAGTCTCCTCAACCTCACACCCCACCACTACCTGTAGATGGAGGGGGAAAGAGAAATAGAATAAACTCACTATCCTGAAAGCCTTACTTTCCTGAGCTTTTCCAGAATGTGGGACTTCATTCTGGAAAGATCCCACAGCATGGTGGAATCCTGTCTCCCACTTCAGGGTGCACTCACTGGGAAAGACAGACCTTCCTCCGCAGGGGTAGGAAGTGACCCCCGGGGGGGATGTGGTTTCAGAGCTGAAGGAGTTAGCTAGTGCCCTGACCACACCGGAGATGCAGAAAGAGATTGAAGAGTTAAAGAAGGAGTGTGCTGTATACACAGAGAGACTGAAGAATATCAAAGCAGCTACCAACCATGTGACCCCAGAAGAGAAAGAGCAGGTGAGGTGGAGGGCTGGCATGCGGGTCTAGAGTGAATGTGAGGGCTGACCCCCAGCAGGCTGCTGTGGTTCTGAGGGGTTAGAGGAACCTATTTCTTCCTTCTAGGTATACAGAGAGAGGCAGAAGTACTGTAAGGAATGGAGGAAGCGGAAGAGGATGGTAAGTGTGTGGCAGCCCTGGAAGTGCTTTTGAAAATGGCAGCCACCAGAGAAACCACTGTACAATATAATGGGTCCCACAGGGAGTGCCCTGTACTGCCCATCGTGGTTTTGTTTGTCAGGCAACAGAGCTGTGTGATGCAATCCTTGAAGGATACCCCAAGAGCAAGAAGCAGTTCTTTGTAAGTGGGAATCTCCCCCTTATCTGCTCTTCTGGGGTCTTTGCCCAGGGACATCTCATTCACTGTCTCCCTGGCCCACAGGAGGAAGTTGGGATAGAGACAGATGAAGATTACAACGTCAACCTCCCAGACCCCTGAGGCCCTCTGTTGGGACTGGGGGATGGAAACAATGATGTTCTGGACTGGCTACCTTGTTTAGGTTGGCTTTTGTTATGGTTGTTATTCTGCCTGCTGCTTTCCATCTTTGAATGGAAGTCAGAACAACTGACTTCCATCTTTCCATCTTTGAACAGCAGTCAGGTAAATTGGAGTATTGGGCAGAGGGAGTGTAGGCTGGTGGCCAAGAGTGGGTGATCACACCCATTTCATTGTCCACATTGCAATGCCTTGCACGTAACACTTAGACTTGGAACAGTGCCAAAGAAAGCATGTGGCATTATTTATTGTAATATAATTTGATATAAAAATATTTAATTTCCTCTGGATAGTCAAACCTCTCAGATATCAAACCTGAGGCAGGCAGAAAGGAGCCTGAGGGACGAGGGTACAGAGAAGCTACTATACACCAGCATTTTGAGGAGCCCAGCATTCACCCAGGAGTCTCTTGGGCTTGAAACCCAGGAGACCTTCTGAGTATCTTTCATACCCCAAGTCCTGGGAGAAATATAGGCAACACTGAGAGATGAAAGACGCCCAGATATACTTGACAGAAAGGCTGGGGGTGGTTTTGAGGCCCAGCTAATTTTCCAAAATTGTAGCTTTAACAATGTTGTATTGTTGGTGTTCAGAAAAATAAAAAATTTCAAATATGTAGTGCTGTGTCACACCTGCCTTTGCCATGCAGCGCAACAGCCTGTGGGAACCAAGAGGGCAGGAGTAGGTAGGGCTGCTTCTCTACCACCCAGAGCAGGGGAGGAAACTGATAGCTCTGCTCTAAGCTAGCCAGAAAGCCCTGGCCTCACCTTGGACTGACTGGGCAGCCCTAGTCTAGGCATGAGGTAGCCTTTCACGGCTGTGGGAATATTTCTTCTTACTCCTTTTTTCCCTGCCAAAATGGCCAAACTTGGGCCAAATGTTGCCCAAGAGACCAAAACAGAGGTAAACAGTTTCTAAATATATGTAGATCAAGAGCAGAAGACTGAGGCTTAGAGAGAGGACTAAGAGGCCAGAATCGCTTTGGGGTGCCCAGAGCAAACTCTGATCCTGTGAGGACTTCCAAAGGGAGAGGAAAGACTGGGCAGGTTCGAGTTTTATGGTCAAAATAATAAATTAATCAGAAGCTTTCACAAAACAAACACCCCAGCCCCACTGATCATGAAGTGAGGCTAGGAAAACCAAACACCCAGCAGAAACCAGCTGACCAGTGTGAGGTGTTGCAGTCCAAGCTCATGGGCCCAGCAGCTCCATGGCCAAATAGAGACTCAAAGGCCTCTTGCTGGCTGTTAACACAGGTTTCCACGAGCCAGTCAGTAAAGCTGGTTTTTCAATTGGTGCAGGACGCCGATCACAATCTCCCGTAGGGTCTGGCAGGGCCAAAAGAGGAAGAGATAGACAACGGTCAGGCCAGGGCACGGAGACATTTCAAAGATGCCTGGCTAGACCAGGTGTGCTCTTTAGAAAAGTGCATTAAAAATAACCCCTAGGAAGTACTGATGCCTGTACTTTGAAAGGCCCCCAACACAAGGCTGAGAGATGGAAATACACTAAAATATTACTGGTAGAATTTAGGTGGTGGATATGTGAATGGTCCTTGTAAAATTCTCTCAGTGTTACAGTATGTTTAAAGTGTTTCACCATAAAAATGTTGGGAAACAAAGTAAGACTCTCAGATAGGAGTTCAAGCTTCAGATAAAGCAACCAGGCCACAAAAGTAGAAGACTTAGTGAAATACACACTCTCTACTACAAATAAATAAAACTACTTTAGTGGGGGTGGGGGTCCCCGAATCTGTGTGTCTCCGAAAACTCCAGGTAACTCTGCTGTAGGTGGCTAATGACGCAGCGATACCTTGGGCTACATGAAAGCTGTGAGCTGGCCCTGGCATTGAACGAGTGCTCACATTACACTTGCCAAATGAAACCATAAATGAAAATGTGGGTTAGACGGCAAAGGTGGGAAACAGAGTACTGAAAGTTGTAGAAATACCCTCGAGAAGCCGAAAAGTGGCTGCCATGCTTTTCTGAATGGATAATGGCCTAGACCACTTTGCTTGAGGGTAGGGGAGACCCGCAGACCCCTGCTGCCCCATACCTGTGGCTTACAGTGCTCCTCAATCCAGCTGAAGACACAGGCCGACAGCTCCTGGAAGCTGGCCACAGAGATGGAGGCATTAAAGGACTGGAACAGAGAGTCCATGATGCCTTGAAACACGTTGAACTTGACCTGGTCGGAGACCTGGTCCTCCCCTTCATGGGGGTTGTCCTGGTGTGCCTTCACAATCTGCTCATAGTTCCTGAAAGCATGCAGGCCAGGGCTGGGTGCTGCAGCAGCTCCACCAGCCCAGGAAGGATGAGATTACCCTATGTACCCCCTGGAAGGAGATAACCAGAGAGCTTTTGGCATCCATTTAGCATCAGCTAGGTATGGCTTCTAGGCCAAAAATGGTGACCTTCTGTCTCCAACCCTCCCTTCATTAATCCAACACGCATTTCCTGAGCGTCTGCCACATGTAAGGGACGGTTGGAGATGCAGGGTCCTGCGTCTTAAGTGGCTAGCTCAGGAAGGGAGAGTATTATCTGTACTGTATTATCTGATGTGGCCTTTGAACAATGAGTGGGTGTGCACTGAAGTCACCTCAGAAGACCTGGTTTCCCTAGTTCAGCACCCTTCTTACACTTTCATGATCTTTAGAGCTGTGACGTCCTTGCGTAGCGTGGTCACCTCCTCCTCCTGCTTTTTCTTTTCCTTGTGCAAAAACTGGATGTAGTCAATGGCTGGGGTGAGGGTGGGAAGAGGGAGGAGGCACAGAGGTAGTCTCAACCAGGAGGACAGGGCTGATTCTGTTTCCCCTTCCCAGCCAACTATCCCGTTACAACCAGCACACCAGGGCCAGGCCAAGAATGGGTATGAGGCACTGGCCTCTTCATAGCCCCTACTGGCTCCACCCCTCCAGTGTTCTCCCCGGCCATACTCTTTTGTAGAACGATGGCTTTGCTGAGCTTTTGGGAGCCAATAGAGAAGTCCTGCTGCTGGCAGGTGGGGACAATGGTCTGAAGGTCATCATAGCCTCTCTGTGGAAACAGCAAGGGAAATGGGTTCCTTAACCCTGAAGGATTAAGCTCTTCCATGACAGTGAGTTCCATGCTTACAAACTCAAAGGGGTAAGGGGACTGGAAGCGGGGAGGTGTTCATGCCCAGGGACTAGACTAACTGCCCACAAGGCTGCTTGGGACTCTCTGTGGGTTGGGGCAGGGTGAATCTGAGACATGCAGACCCTCCACACGGCTGAGGCACAGGCACCCCCATCACCTTGATGGCATCCCTCCTCTTCTGCTCGGCCTGAGTGTGTGCTCGCCGCCGTCGGTCCTTGTAGGACTCCTTGTAGGACTCCTGGTGGTAATCACTGTCCTCGTCATCTACGCTCAGAGTTGGGGGCAGGGAGAGGTCATCTTGGGGCCCAGTGGGACCCAGCTAGCCCATCTCTCCCCAGCTGTAAAGAACCTGGTGCCCAGAGATGGCAGATGGACAGAAGAACCTAATGTCCTAGAGGAGGTGAAAGGTAGTGAGACCCTATGTCTAGCAATTGGACTCCAGCACCCTCATGTGGATGGCAAAGCTTCCCTGTCGAGGAAAGTTACTAAATGATGGCATATCTGAGTCCCCCTCGGTGGGGGGATGTTGCTGCCTACCTGTGTTGGGGACAGAAGAGGCACTGGTAGAACCGATGCTATTAGCTCTGGACACTACACTCCCCTTGCGGGTGCTGTCTACAAAAAGCCCTAGAAAAAAAAGGCCCCAATCACTAAGGAGTGGGGTGGGGAACACTGCCAGGCCCTCAGACACCTGTGGGCACAATGGCTTTCTTAAATGCCAACCTCTTCCCTTCAACCCAAAGCCAGCCATACTGGACCACCCACTTCCTGACACACATGCTGCAACGTTCCTATCCCTAGCGTCCAGACGGCTCCATAGGTCTGCAGCGGTACCCTCTGGCTTGCAAAGGGGCATCTGGACGTGACGAGGGTGAGAGTAAGCAGCTGCCACTATTGACATCACTTCCCTGCTCCAGCACAGAGGGAACTAGGTGTCACCCTCAGTTGCTTCCTGCCTGGTCCTGCAGCTCCTCCCTTGCTGTGTCAGGCCAGGAGCTCAGCTCAGGGACAGTGGACTGTGCTCAGGTGTGGCTGGCAAGGCCACAAGAATCTAGAGAGCTGAAGACGGTGGGGGAGCCACTCACCGGGGTCCAGGCTGTTGTCGCTGTAGGCATACTCCACCTGTGGCACCGAGCAAAGGAGAAGCCCGTCAGACCTCTGCCCCTGGGTGAAGGCGCCTCCATCACTCTGCTCACGCGCGCGCGCGCACACACACCCCGGGGGAAGGCGCCTCTCTACTACACACCTAACTACACACACGCACCGGGGTGCAAAGGCAGCTGAATGATTCCCCCAAGAAGCGAAGCAAGACTGGACAGGCCGTGGGAGCGCCGCCCTTCGGTATGACTCCCTTCCGTCCCTACTCCTCCACCTCCTCAACCCTCAGCCCCCCACACTGGCGCACAAACGCTTCGTTTGTCTCCCCACCTTGGCACACGCGGGGAGAGAGCTGTCTTCTCTGCAGCCCCGGGGCCCGGAGAGCGGGGGGAACTTTGGGGACAGGAGGGAAGCCCCTCGTCTTCCGGACCCCCTACGTGCACGAAGCCGACCCACCCTCCCCTCGCTGGCGTGCGCGCCCACGGGGCTTGCCTTAACCCAGGGGTCCTCGGGAGAGGCGCCCGGCTCCGTCATCTTGGACCCACCGAACCGGAAACAAACCAGCGGGCGGGCCCCCTGCCGCGAGAAAGGGGGCGAGGTGTGCCCACGTGATCCAAGCCCACCAATCCGCGACCGAGAGGCGGAGGGCGGGGTGAGACGACTGCACATGCGCCGTCCCAAGGCTACAAACGTCGGCTTGAGCCAGCAAAGCCTGGTGTTGGGGTAATGTTCGCAGTCCCAGAGACGTGCTCGCGGTCTGTCCATGCCCTCCCCCGGGTTAAGAACTACAATGGCAGTGATAGGAAGCACATTCTGTAAAACGGAGTCCCCTCAAAAGGCTTGTCTGAATATTGTGCGCACGCGCACTGCCTGGCTCAGCCAGCTCACTAGGTTGCCCGGCCTCACCCACACCCCTATCCTGTCCCCCTTGTTCCCGACCTGCAGTCCTGGCCACTGTCGGGAACCAGGCAGAGCTCCTCTGTTACATCGTCTCAGCCCACCAGGCTGCAAGCTCCGTGAGGGCAGAGGCCCCACCTGGCACATCTTTAAGGAATTAACCCCTGCAAAGAGCCTGTGAGCTGATTATGCTGCCTTACAGATGAGGAAACTGAAGGACCTAGGAAGTCGACAGCTTATTCAGAGGCACACAGCTAGTCAGCGGCAGGGCCAAGGCTGACCTCAGTCTGGCTACCTTCAAAGGCCACACTCCTAGCTACTGCACTCCTGTGCTTCCGGCTCAGGCCTGACCCTGCACTCCTGGCGTACGCATCCCAAAGCAGACACCATACAGGCAGCACCTGGAAACGTTCACCTTTAATTATGTTACAAGTTCAGTGTTTGCCCTGACTCTAGTCAGCTGTGGGTCTCAGGCACCCCCAGGCAAGAGTGGGGATGGAAACTCAGAGGGGCCTGCTCCACACCAGCCACAGCCTTGGTGCTGGCCAAACCCCAACAGGCTCAGTAGGTTGCCTGTGTCCACCAGGCCCAGCCATGTCCTGCACAGCTTAGCCTGGAGACCTCTAGGCCTGAGCCAGCGTGAGCACCAAGGCCCCCACTTCTCCTCACCCCTGGATCTCAGCAGCTCCAGGGGCAAGTGTGGCCCCATGGAGAACTCATTTTCAGTCAAGGGGCCGGTTGAGTCTTGGGGATGCGCTCCTGCAGGAGGGCCCAGGCTTTCTCCACCTTTGAGCAGGCCAGAATGTTGGGGGGACAGTCAGGCAGGCACCCACCGGGACTCCCTCCCCACAACCCAGCCTTTCCCTGGGCACCAACTTGGCGCTGGGTGATATGTGGCTCCCACAAGGTGCTCAGCACCACGTGGCTCTGGTCCACAAGCTGCTGCCCACTCATCTGGCTCTGCAGGCGGCTTTGAGCTGCAGCTTCACTCAGGCCGTCCCTCTCCACAATGCGCCGTACAGCCTGGGCACACACGAGGCATTTGTCAGAAAGGATTCCAGCTCAGCAGGATACGGTCTGCAGTAGGGATAGGGTGGCCGGTGGGGTCCAGATACCTCAGTCTCTGGGATGACAACAGTCCACACCTCATGTACCATGTTCTGCCAGCCGGCTTCAAGCAGCATAGCGGCATCAATCACGCACACATGCTTTCCTGTGGGGAGACCCGTCACCGCCAGCAGCATCTGCTACTGGTCAGAGCGCCCACGAAACACACTCCCAGGGAAAGTGGATGGTCTGGCTTGGGCAGGGAAGCTCCCAGGGGAAGAATCCACTTCACTGTCCCCCTTGGCTGCTCCCATCATCCTTCCCACTCGCTCACCCTCAGTCACAGCCCGATCCATCTCCTCTCGGGACAGCTTTGCAATAACTGGCCACATAATGTCCGTGAGGATCTTCATCTGCTTCTAGGGAGGGGGACAGAGGGAGTGGGCAGAGGTTACCTTCCCTCAGAGACAGGGGCCACCCAAGGGAGGTGGTAGCTGGGAACAGATGAGTGGAAATGGCATTCTGGACCAAACCAGAGAGGTCCACCGGAACCCAACCCCTGCAGCTGGTAGCAGCTGAGGACCTTAGGAGGTGTGTGTTTACCTTGTTCCCAAACACCCGGCTGCCTAGCACCTTCCTGTTGATGATGCCATCTTTATGGAGAATATCTGGGTGACAGAGACAGAGGACTGAGCAAAGAGGCCAGGCTGTCTCCTCACTTCAGGTCACCTCCAGCGCTCCCTGGTTAGTACCTGTTCCAAAGGCCTCCACCACAGGCTGGTAGGCAGGGCCACCTGGGGCATAGGCCTGATGGCCCAGCTGGTCACTGTCGATGACAAATGCCCCTAGGTCCTTCAGCCGCTTAGCTATTGAGCTCTTCCCAGAGCCGCTGATGCCGGTCAGCCCTATCACGTAGAGGGACACGGGGAGCTCTGGCCTCTTCTGGGGGTGGATGAAAGGGAACCCACAGTTACGAGGGCCCTCAGGCTCATGCCTGGGGCTGTGCCCCTTCGTTTCCACTCGCGCACGGGGGAGCAAGGGGAGGCTCACGTGTGGAGGCCGAAGCAGTTTTCCCAGCATTCGCTGGCGGAAGGTGGAGGAGCTGACTTTGTCCTCTTCATTTTCCTTGTGGCTCAGGTCCTGCAGCAGCTGGATCTGGTACAAGGCGAGTTCTTCCAGGCCCTGAGGTAAAGGAGAAAGGGTGAGACAGGGAAAGCAGGAGTGACAGAAGAAGGGCAAACCCTGACACCCAGCCTGCCCCCTTGTCCTTCCCTACCTCCTCTAGGATCATCCTCCACCTCAGCGGGCAAGCTGGGAACTAGCTCCGCCTTGCTTCTTCCCGCCACCCTCAGCCCCCTCTTCCCTCCTCTGGGGTCATGATGCTTCCAACAGCCCCCACGACGGCCTTCCCCGTCCCCATCCACTCCCTCTGCCAGTCTCCCTCAGGGGTTACATTCTCAAGGCGGAAGCGGTTGACGGCCATCCCCCCACGATAGGTCTCTTCGCTGACCACCAGGAACTCCAGGGAGGGGTCAGAGCCAGCGGGCCCATAGGGGTCCAGCAGGGGGATGATATCAAAAGTCAAGGAGGGCTTTATGTCGACCAGGAAGTCACTCAGGTGTTCCACGCGTTCTGCATAAGGTTGGAGCAGCTCAGGGAGCACCTTGCCTGAGGAAGGAGCCCAAAAGAACTGTGAGATCTTTTTACTGGGGAGGAAGAGTATGGGCCAGTTTGGGGAAGAGTGTCCCCAAGCCCTTTATCTCCAGAGGGGCATGACAGAAAGAAAGGGTTCAGTTGGGAAGGTCTGTGGTGGGGGTGGGGGACTGGGGATGGGATTAAGAAAGAACCAGGCAAGCACAATAGTCACTGACTGCAAGGGCTGGCACGTGTCCAGAGAACAAGCCATCAGGAAAGTACTTTGGACAACTAGCAGTGCCAGTGGGCATGAGTCGGACGGAGAATTTCAAGAACCACACTATCCTTGAGTCTTCTCTTACTGTTTGTGGCGCTACTACCTACAACTCACTCATCCATTTGTTCCCAGTGTCTCAGTAGGGTTCATCACCTGGAGAACGTGTTAAAGTGCAGATTCCTTCGCTTCACGTTTGGAGAATTCTGACTGAGAGGTAACTGGACCACATGCTAAGAAATCTACATTTACTCATTTAAATATCCTTAGCACTGAGTGTCAGGCACCATGACATTTGGGGGGAGTGGGAAGTAATGGATGGCCCTCCCCTTCCTTGATCTGGGCATGATGGTGGATGGAAAGAAATTTGAGGGCCCTCCATTGCCCTAATCCAGGATCCCTCTCACTCACTCTTCAACAGATCTTTGTCTGCTACTCCCACCACAAGCTGCTCCTGGGCCAGGATGCATGCGACACTGAGCAACACCTTGTGGGCATTATGAAGGCGGTCGAACGTGCCACCCACAGCCCCGCGTTGGTAGCCACGCACCGGCTGCTTTGGAGACCTGGCCACGGGGGAAGCAGGCCTGATCGTGGAGAATAATGGGACACCCATGGGCTCCACGGGCAGCTCTCCAGTCCCATAATCGGGGTATAGCAACACCGAAGCCAATCGCGGACAACAGCTGTAACAGCTGGTGGCATAACGCTCTAGCTGTTGTTTGACCGGGTTGTACTGGCTTCCATCCAGAGTCTGGAAGTCTGTCAGCACCACTTCCGGCGGGTGGGCGAGATTCTGGACTGAGGTGGGTTGGGGAGGGAGAAAGGCGCTCTTGGTTCGGATATTGGTCAGCAGGATTCTGACGTCCAGGTTCCTGTGGACTTCGGCGCCAGTATAGAAGTGCGTGATGAAATCAAGAACCTCGAACGTGGCCTGCACGGTGCTGGACTGGGGCTGAGCCGGGCCCTCCAGGCTCATGCCCGGCTGCAAGTGTACATAGAGTGTGTGATTCACCAGCCGGGAAGCCGAGGTCAGGATAGGGGCCAGACGAGGGGCTAGGGAGGCCAGAGGCGTCGTCAGCACCAGGAGGCCCGAACGGAATACGGCCATGGTGCCCAGGCCTGCGGACAGTCAGGGAGACAAGGCGAGGGTAACTGAGGGGCCTGCGGCTGAGGCAGAGGCTTACACGGGGCTTTAGAACCGGGAAAAGGGGACCTGGAGCAGGGACAGGATCTCAGTGCCGATCGAGAGGACCCAGGGTAGGGGACGGGGCCTAGCTGACGGCGTTCAGGGCTGTGCTCTAAGCCTTCATTTCCTCTCAGATGGGGTGGTGACTTCACTGAATTAAATCGAAATCCTGGGAAGGGGAAGCTGGAACTGGACGGGAGCCCCTGAGTCATGGGACTCATGGGGATGCAGAAATCCTGGGCGCTCTTGCTAAGCTGCACCAGGGTCTTCAAGCAACCGAAAAAGGGGACTAAAGAGGAACGCTCAAGCTCAGGTCGGTCCCCTACTCACTGAAACCTCCGGGCTTTGGTTCCGCTGCCACCACCGCGGAGGCTTCCCTGGCTGCCACCCGGAAGCACTCGCTCAGAAACCGTGACGCCGAGCTACGGAAACGGAAGAGAGTCAAACGCCTCAACTTCACGGCCGCGAGTGGAATTCTCGCGAGATTTCTCGTAGGGTGGGGCGAGTCCTGCTGCTGGGGCGGGGCTGCCCTCCAAGGCTTAGGGGATGAGTGAATCTTCTGTCCCAGATCCACGTCCCACCGGGCCTGAGCGGAAGGGGAAGGCGGGTTTGAAAGCCCATTTCACTCACTTCCTCAGGCCCGGAGAGTAGAGATTGGCTTCAGCTATGTCACCCAAGAACAACGGCAAAGCCAGAACACCAGGCTTCCCTTCTGAATTCTGGGGGCGGGGAGGGAGGAGTGTCACAGGCTTGCGCTGCGTTCCCAGAGCCTTCCTGGTGCCCTCCCAGTCCGGGCACGGTCATGTGGGAGGGTACAGTGCTGTCCGAGTACCCATTTCACAGATGGAAATATTGAAGCCCTGCACGTTCTAGGGACACATAGAGGCCAGGTCTTGTGACTGCTATACGAGGCTCTCCGCCCACCCGGATCCAATGATGCACCTGTTCGCAGGGGAGGGGAGGGAAAAAGCTCTCAGTGCGAGCTCGGTGGAGCTGCCAGGGTCTTTGTGGACGGGAGAAAAGGGTGGGAGATCCAGGGTCGAGGATTTAACATGAAGCTAATGAGTACTGAAAAGTCTGGAATTGGTAGGGTTGGTGTGGAGGGGAGCCAGGTTGCCACCAGAAAACATTTCAGATAAATTGTCCATGGAGATTTCAAAAGGAAGGGAAACCAACCTCAAGATCCCGGTAGTGTGCTGTGGTTTATTTTCCCGAACTGAATAAATATTGACTTTTTAAAATAAATGTTCATTTTCATACTTAATTTTGTTTGTCTTTTGTCTTTTTTGGAGAGAGGGTCCCGCTCTGTTGCCAGGCTAGAGTGCAGTGGTGCTCACTGCAGCCTTGAACTCCTGGGCTCAAGTGATCCTCGTGCCTCAGCTGGAACTAGAGGGACGAGCCACCACACCAAGGCCTCTGTATTTTTCAAGAGGGCCTCCAGAATGTAAAAGCCTCACAAAACCTGGACCTGCCTTTGGAGTTAAGGATGGAAGACTTGTAGAGCCTCAGAGGCACTAAAGGACCAGGCTTCTTAAAGGAGACATAAGTTGGATTTTAAACAGAGGGCCAGAAGAAACAAACAGCAAAGGCTGCCAGAGAATGTCCCAAGACATCTTTACACACAGTCTGATATGCCATGTAAGAGTCACTTTTATTTAGTAAATGTGTATTTAGTGCATCCCATGTGTAGGTACATCTTTAGACACAAATGACAGACCAGCGAACAAAACAAAGTCCCTGTGCTCCTGGGGCTTAGATTCCTGTGTGTCCAGGGAGGGGGTGGTGAATAAACAACAAACAAATCTATATTACATTTGATGATAAGGGCTATGAAGAAAAATAAAGCAGACTAGTGGGACTATAGTGGAGGAGAGAGAATGCTATTTTAGATAGGGTGGTCCAGGAAAACAAAGACATGGAGGAAGAGCTAGAATCAGAGATCAGGGGAAAGTGAGCCAGAGAGAGGGAACAGCAAGTGCAAACAGCACGAGGCAGGAGGCTAGTGAGGCTGAACTGGATGGCAGAGATGGAGAGTGGTGTGAGATGAGGTCAGAAAGAGGCAGGAGTCAGATCCAAGGTCAAGAGAGAGAGGTCACACATTGCCTCTCTTATCACCCTGTCCCCCAGGGGTGACCTTGTGAGTGCATACATACCCACTCACATACACACACTCTCACACAGAGGGGCAAAGAAGTCAGGCTCTGAGAGCAGGTCCCATGCCTCAGAAATTCAGGCCAGGAAGGGGCTCTCTCCCCTTCCTCTGGCTTTCCTGGATGCTGTAGGGACAACAGATCTGTGTCTGGGCCAGCAGTGCAGAGAGACCAGCAGGGGTCGGGGGGCTGTGAGGCCCCTTCCCTCCTCCAAGAGCAGAGGCAGCAGGAAGTCCAACAAGGCCAGAGAAGACCCTTATCTGGAGGCAGAGGCAGGTCAGGATGTTGTGTCTCCATCCCCCAAGGTCCCCCACAAAGCCCCAAGGACCCCAGTAGGTTCCTCTCTATTCTCACTTCCCAGGCTCTCTTCCTGCCTGCTCCAAAGGGCCATCCCCCTTCACCCTTCCCTTCCTCTCAAATATGATCCCCCCTCCAGCCTAAGCCCTACCCCAGTGCCATCCCCTCCCGGGGCACTCCTGCCCCTGTCCTCTGGCACATCCTTACCTGGCCTCTATCTGTTCTCTATTCCTCCTCTCCACCAGACCCCCACAGAAGTTAAGAGATGGGGTCCTTGGCCAGGCGCGGTGGCTCACGCCTGTAATTCTAGCTCTCTGGGAGGCCGAGGCGGGCGGATTGTTTGAGCTCAGGAGTTCGAGACCAGCCTGAGCAAGAGCGAGACCCCGTCTCTACTAAAAATAGAAAGAAATTAATCGGACAACTAAAAATATATAGAAAAAATTAGCCGGGCATGGTGGCGCATGTCTGTAGTCCCAGCTACTCGGGAGGCTGAGGCAGTAGGATTGCTTGAGCCCAGGAGTTTGAGGTTGCTGTGAGCTAGGCTGACGCCACGGCACTCACTCTAGCCCGGGAAAAAAGAGTGAGACTCTTGTCTCAAAAAAAAAAAAAAAAGAGAGGGTCCATGACCCTGCTGGCCCCTATCAGTGGCTCCTGACACCCTGCACCCCTCCACTGGGCTCAGGAAGGAGGACAGACCAGTGGGGCAAAGCATCCAGGCCTGGAGCCGCAGCTGCACAGACTGGTGAGATGCAGTGTCCACGCTGGTGGGGATCTCTCCTGCTGAGTCTTGTCTGGGCCAGAGGGCAAGGACCAAGGACAGGGTGGCAACTGAGGCTGTCCCCCTTTGATTCGTTTATCTCTGTTCCTTCTTTACACATCTGGTCCACATGGGAATATAACAATAGTAACACTACTAGTAGTAATAATAATAGTCATAGCCCGCTATTAAGACCTCTATACCAGCACTTTCAGACATTATCTCACTTATTCCCTAATAAAACCCATGAGACAGGTATTATTATTCCCATTTCACAAATAAGGAAACAGACTCCAGAGAAGGTAAGGACCTTGCCTGAGATCCCTGCCTAATGGGGGCCGAGTCACGGCCCGACTCTCCCCCAACCCAAGTCTGCTTACCTCCTATCACAACAGACGCCTCTCAGGTACCCAGAGACTGCGTCCTGGCTCTGCCTCTGCCAGGACCTACGGTGTGACCCTGGACTAGCCTCTTCCTCTTTCTGGACCTGGGTTTCCGTGTAGGGATACCCGGGGCTAAAGTGATCTCTCTAAAACACCTTCCTACCCGCTGCAAGCGGCGCACTGCAGCTGCCACCCCCGCCCCGTCCCCGTGGACCTCACAGCCCCGGGAGGCAAAGGAGGGCGCGGGAGACAGGGGAGGATGGAGCCTTTATTGCGGGGCGGCGGGAGGAGCGCCGGGCTCAGGGCCCCCCGGGCCTCCCGCCCCGGCCTCGGCGGGCTCGTCGGCGAACACCGCGCGCTGCATGGCGGCCACGTAGCTGCAGCCGCTGGAGTCGTCCAGGCGCAGCCGCGCCAGGGGCAGGAAGCGCTCGGTGCTGAAGTAGCGCAGGGCCGGCCGCGGGGCGCGCAGCGCGGTGAGGAAGACCTGCGGCGGCGGTTAGAGGAGCTCTGGCCCCGGCCGGGCGCGGGACCCGCGCGCCGCCCCCGCTCCCGGAGCCCCGCCCGGCGCCCACCTCTGTCACCTCCTCCGGGTCCTGCGCCGCCTCGCGGAAGACCTGCTCGCAGTGGCGCTGGTAGAGGGAGAAGAGGTGGCGGGTCTGGGCGTCCGTGCCGTCCAGCGCCCCTCCCGGGCCGCCCTCCAGCTTGTCCTGGAAGGCGGTGCGCACCGGGCCGCACTCGATGAGGCTCACGCTGCGGACCCGAAAGCGGCGGGTGGGTGGGGGCGGACGCAAGCCCGGCCCCAGCCCGGCCCCGAGCCGCGAAGGGAAGGCGGGAAAGGGTGTGCGCGCGGGCGCCTAACCCGAGCGCTTGAAAAGCGGTTTACTGGCCGGAAAGCGCTCCCACATCCCTCTGAGGCTGTGAGGGAGTCTCCGGCGTCAGAATTCAAACCTGGCTGGGGCCCTTGCAGCTGTGTGACCTGCGGCCGGTCACCTGACCTCTCTGGGCCTGAATTTCCCCATAACAATACCGACACCTCAGCAGCCAAGTCGGCAAGTGAAGCGAGATACCATGTGCCAAGTGCCCGGCACACGACAATGTGAGCGGGGCAGTGAGGGCCAGGGAGACCGCCTGAGAATAGCTCCAACAAAACCGGGTGCCCGAGCTCCCAAGGTCGGGGTTCAGAGGGTTCGGAGGCGGGGTGGTGACTCACTGGATCCCGAAGGGCGGCAGCAGAACTGCCAGACTCTCGCATAAGCCTTCGAGCGCGAACTTGCTGGCACAGTAAACGGCGTTGAAGGGCAGCCCTTGGAGGGGAGATGAGGTTGCTGAGGCGCGCGGCCCGCCAAGAGCCCGCTGCGTCCGCCGCCTCTCCAGGCCCCTCCTCTTCCGCGGGCCCCGCCCATCTCTTGCGGAGCCTCCGCCCCCTTCGCGCCTCTGGCCTCGCCCCTTCCACTCACCCATCAAGCCTCCCATGCTCCCTGTCACCAACACGCGTCCGGAGCGGCGCCGCTTCATGTCTGGCAGGAAGGCCTGCAGTGTCCGCACCGTCCCGGCCACGTTCACGTCCAGCACGGAGCTCACCGCACCCGCGGCGTGCGCCTCCAGAGGCCCCAGCAGGCCCCGGCCTGCGTTACACACTGCGGGGAGAGAGGCCAAACCCCGCCCGCCTCACACCCAGCCCTCAGGCCCGACCTGTCCCCTAGTGTTCCCTGGCCTCGGGACATGCTGGTTTGGACACAGGACAGAGAAGGCTCCTAAGAGCACATGTGTTTCAGGGAGGCTCACCCAGCACGTCCACGCGGCCCTCGGTCACGCGTGACCGGGCAACGGCCACAGAATCTGAGTCCCTCACGTCGAGCTGCAACGTCTCCAGGCAGTCGGGATGGCAGCCCCGGGCCCGGGCCGCCTCCCACAGCGGGCCCTGCGCCTTCAGGTCCCTCAGCGTGGCGTACACTGGAGGTTCAGGGACAGGATGAAGATCTGAATTCCCTGCTTACCTCTAAGGGCTCCTCCTCTCTCCATCCCTGTCCATTCACAGACCTTTGAAGCTCCTGGATGGGTCTGACGCCAGACGCAGGGCCAGGTGCCAGCCGATGCCCGAGGAGCAGCCAGTGATGAGCACCACAGTGCGCTCCATGGGGAGACGTGTAGGGAGACGCTAGAGCTTGGGTCTCCGGGCTGGATATCATCTGCTTTGCCCCGCCCCTGCCTGCTGGGGCCCCCACCCCTTGTTATGTCTGCAGCGCAATCTCAAGGCTGAGCCCTCCCTGGCTGGCTCTCCCCACCCTGCTCTGGGTCAAAGCAGGGATGAGGCCACTGCTTGGAACACCCACTGTCCTAGCTGCTGGTCAGAGGGAGGGGAGGCTTTGCAAGCAGGGGCATGGGTTCCCATGTCTGCACGGAGTGGCACTCTGGGCATGCCTCTGTCCCATAGGGGCAATTCGAGTTAGCAGAGTTTGCAGCTGAGGGTGTGAAAGTAAAGGCTTTCCGAGGATGTTCTCAGTTCAAAGGTCAGGGGTTATATTAAAAACGAGGAAGCCGAGGCAAGGGGCAGGGAGAACTGCCCCTACACCGGGGTCCATGCTGTGGCATCCTGGCAGTGACTTCTCATTCTGACAATCCGGGCTGATTCATCAGTTTATTAAGTTGACAGAAAACAGTACTTTAATCCCCAAACCTCCCTCCAAATCCCCCAGGCCTGACCCCACCAGCAGGCCTTGGGTCCTTCCAGGCCTGGGCATATGTCCTGTGAAGCATGTCTAGCTCCGGGCCCTGGGAACCTGCCCCAACCTGAAGCTTGGGGAGAACATGGCCTGGGGGTGGTTAATCTATCACAAAGAGACATTCACCCACCGGGGGTAATATTTGAGGAAGATCTTTTTGGCCAGATCCACGGTGTCTCCTTGAGGCTGGCTGGGATACCTCCGCGAGCTGAGGACAAAGGCCTGCTCCAGGTGGAAGACATTCTTGTCAAACTGGCGCTGTTGGAAAGGGATGCCCTGGGCCAAGCTGTCCGCCAGCGCCTGCACGAAGAGTCGCCAGCGGGGGGTGTAGTAGTCGGCCACCAGTCCCGCCAGCTGCTTGTTAGCGTAGTCTAGGATGTTGCCCACTGGCCCCCACAGGGTCAGCTGATAGCGGCTGTTCTGCTCATAGAAATCGGCCTCAGCCTCACTGACTGCCACTGCCCGGGCCTGCTCCAGCCAGCTGCCCAGCAAGAAGCGGCTGTCACTAGCCAGCACTTCATCCAGCGCAGGCAGAAGCTCATAGGCCAGGACACCCCCGGCCCTCAACAGGGGGGCCAGCTCCTTGTTCAGGTAGGCGGTCCTCACCTCCTCATAGTACAGGCTGACCAGCTCCTGGACTGCCTGGCGAGTGACGTCCAGCAGGTCATAGCGGAAGGCCGGGCTGGCAGCCAAGGTGGGGGCAGTTGTTAGCAGCAGCCGCCAGGCCTCAAACACATCGGATTGGTTGTACCAGACCGTGGTATTCATCTGTAGGGATGGCCGCTTGACCAGAGGACTGCGATTGTGTCCCCTGCAGGCCTCCCCAGAGCAGTTGTAGACACTCCTGAGCAGCAGCCTCCACGCTGCCTCTGCATCCCGGTGGGAGGCCCCGTAGCGCCGGTCAGCAAAGCTGGTCACCCAGGCTGCCAAATCTGGCACTGGGTCCTTCCGCCAGCCCAGCTCAGCCATGAGGGCGTAGACCACTTCGTTCTGGTTGATGCCCTCAGGAGCCATGCCTGTGCCTACCATGGTGGAGTTGGGGAAGAGGCGGGCAGCTTTGGGACCTTGGTTCACGGCCTCCAGGGCTCCGAACAGGCCGTGGTTGCCCCCGAAGTTGTGCAGCATGCACCAGATGAAGGGCTGGCCCTGGAAGGAGGCTGTGCGGACGTACACCGGCTGGTTCTCTGCAAACAGGTCCAGGACCAGGAGGCGGCCGCGGGGCACAGCTCCCAGCACAGCCCCGACCTGGGCGGGCCCCCAGAACTCGGGCTGGTGCTGGAAGAGCCAGCCTTGGAGCAGCCACACAGCATTAGGGTCCACTACAGTCAGAGGTGGGGGACAGAGAAGAGAAGTAATGAGAGAAGAGTGGGGCCAGGGGAATGTTGACCCCATTCTATAGACTAGGAAACAGAGGTCCAGAGAGGTTAAATGACTCTCCGATCACAGGACACACCTTCCCTTGTGATGTCCCCACCAGCGAGACATACTGTGACCCATCCCCTGCCCCATTCCCACCTCCTCCCAACTCCAGGACAGTGTTCATCAAGCTTCCAGGGGCATCAGAATTACCCAGAAGGCTTGGTGAGACATGGATGCCCGGGCCCCAGCATCTGCAGCTTCTGATTCAGGAGGTCCGGAGTGAAGCCCAAGAATTTGCATATCTGACAGTTTGGGATGATGCTAACGCGGTTGGGTCTGGATCACACCCGGAGTGGCACTGCTCAGGAAGCCTGAGCCAGTCTGCTCCCTCCGGCTAACAGAGTGGCCTCCCCGCCACGCCATTCCTGACTTGTAAGTGGCAGGAAGGAGCCCTCGCTGCACATTTGTGTAGCAGGATGGGCACTTACCGCCTTTGGGCGCCTCCCCTAACTGCTGCCCTGCCTTACCTGCCTCAGCCACGCGACAGAGACCAATTAAATCTTTTTAATCGCTAGCACTTAATGATTCTTTTCTCTGGGCCAGGCATCATCCTACCCATAAGGTGGCCCCATTTTACAGATGAAGCAACTGAAACACTGGGAGGGAGGAACTTGTCAGAAGTCACACAGCCAGGAAATAACAGTGCCAGGGTTTGACCCAGGTTGTCTGGTTCCAGAGCTCTCCCTCAACCATGGTGGGATTAAATGAGGCGACGTGTAAGTACGAGTGCTGGGTACACTGTAAAGTGCTGTGTGTCACAGGGAGGTGTTATTCCCGTACCACCCCCACTGACCTCTGCCACTGAAACTGCCCTTCAATAATGGGGTGCAAGCAAGAACTGGGGTAAGGGCCTACCAAAAAATAATACACAGGCCTAGCTAAAAATAACGATAATAATTAGTAACTGTCCCCCTGTAATTGCCACTCGCTCCAGAGGCACGTAGCTGGTGGTCATAAAGATCTTAACTTCTCCCCATAGCCTGTGTTCATAAAGATTCTTAACTTTCTCTGTAGATAACATCACCTTTTTGGAACCTAAAGGGCGTTTTTAAGATAGTTCCCGGGCCCCGCATTCCAGTGCATGGACTGGCCCACGCAGACCAGCGGCCCATACCAAGAAACCAACTCAACTGGAATTGTGACCCCAGAGACTGGAGCGACCCATGAAAATGATTCCTACACCCCTATAACTTTGCCCTAATTAAAAAACCTAATTGCCTAATCCCTTGCCTACCAAACTATCCTGAAAAACCCTGTCTCCTAAGTTCTTGGGGAGGTGGATTGGAGAAATTTCTCCTGTCTCCTCGCTTAGCACTATGCAGAATAAAGACTCTCTCTCCACTGCAAAACCTGCTGGCTCAGCATATTGGCTGCTTCTCGGACAGGGGCAAATGAACCTGGCTGGGCGGCAACACCGCTATCTTTCTGACGGTCTGGGGGGGCTTCCCTTCCCCACCTCCCCAGGCACTGTACCTGCAGTCATGGCCTCATAGACGGCGGAGGTGGCAGCAGCCAGGTAGGAGGGCTCCGAGGAGGGGGGCTGCATCTCATTAAAAGTGTCAGCCCCGTAGATGTGGTCTGTGCCAAACTCTTTGGTCAGCTCCCGTAGGAAGAAGCTCCCGATGAAGGGGAATATGGGGTCGTCCGGAGCCAGAAGGAAGGAGCAGGAGTAGGAGCAGTTGAAGTGTCCCCAGCTGGCCATCTGGGTGACACTGACCTGAGGGAACACCCTAGTGGGGAGCAAAAGACACACAGACACACACACACACACACAGGATTACAAACCCTTATGGCAAAGTTGGTAAAAATCCCTTTTACAACTGAGGAAACTGAGGCACAGAGCAGTCACATAATCTGCAAAGTCACACAGCTACCTGGTAGCAGAGCCAGGATCAAACCCAAGTCTACATCCAGAATTTAAGTTTTTCTTTAAGTCATGTCTTACAAGAGAAAATTTCCCCTCTGAGCTGAGTGGGGGGGTAAGAGGGGAACCTCACCTGGTGATAGCCTTGGGGACATGCCCTGCAAATGCTGGTAACACTGGGATCATGCCGAAGGAGCGCATCCGGTCCAGGATCCGATGCTGGGAGGGATGGGGGGCTGGTGAGTGTGACCATTGCTACCCCAAATACCTGGGCCCATGACAATCTAGCACAATCCCACCCCTTCCCTTCCCTTCCCATCCTTCTACCTGCAGGTAAAGCTGCTTGAGGTGCCAGAAGTGGGGGAGGGGACCGCCCCAGGTGTGCAGGTTGCCCATGCGGCCCCAGGCCAGGAAGGCAGGGCCAGTGAAGTACTCGTCAATCTCTGACTGGGTCAGGCCCAAGGCCAGGTACACCTGAGGAGGAGGGCAAACCCCACACATAAATATATTCATCCCCATTCATCAATTCGTTCATTCAGCATTCATTCATTGCTTCTCTATGCTGGGCACTAGGGCTCCTAAGACAAAATTTGACTCCTGCCTGCAAGGAGCCCACAGTCCAAAGGAAAGAGACTTGTGAGCAGGTGAGTTCACTAATATTTCACCTTTGTCGCATGGGCGAGGAGATTGGGCACAAAAGGGCTCTCCTCTAAGCAGGGAGGGGGTCTTAGAGGGCTTTCTGGAGAAGCCAGATGGAAGGTAGGACAGCTCTGCAAGTAGCTTAAGCAGCCCTGGAGTGGCCAGTGCACAGGGAGGCTCCCAGGGAGGCAGATGCAGAGCTGCTAATGAGAGCCATCTATAAGGCCAGGCGACTGGCATCATGTGGGGGTCGGGACAAGAGCCTCGGCTTCTTAGGATAGAGTGCCAGGACTATCCCACAGTAACCCTCAGACGCGCTTGTCTTAGGAACGGAAGCCTCCATTTCTGGAGGGCTGGAGCCATTGCACATGCTATTGACGCATCCGAAGCACGTATTCTCCGTGTGCCAGACACTGTGCTGATGCTGAGGGGGGAGAGGGGGTGGAGACATGTGGGTAGGAGAGTGTGGAGGGGCCAGGTGGGCACGCACCT